CTTTTGGGTATCGTCTGGAGCACAGTATTTCCGTGTTTTGCGCTATGAGTGTGCGAGATGGAGTCACGTATTACACGTGACTGCAGTGAATCGGCATCTGAGCACTCACGCAGCACAATACGTGGCAGTAGGCAGCAGCGCCGAGTAGCTGACTCGCATTACAACGCCAGGCCCTATTGGCGAGCACATCGGTTGCCCCTGCTGATAATCGCTTTGCAGAGAAAAGATATGGCGGCGGGCATTGATGCGTGGACATCAGCTGCATCTGCCGACAGGAGCACATTTTGCACTTGGCTGCGAGCTGGGGACCACCGACATATGCGGAGTCGTGGATTTATGCAGTATGCCTGCACGCGTCTATTGCCGCACTGAGGCAATGCCTCCGGTGGCGTCCCGGTCGCTTCCTGTTTTGACCAGGAAGTGAGAGACGAGCGACCAACTAGCTTTCGGTCGGGACATGCATCGGCAGTGTTGCGTTTCTGGCCTTCTGATATTTGGAATACAGGCTCACCCGCATGCGTGCGTATTTATGGAGTTGCAGTGCGTTAAATAGTTCGTGCTTGTCTTGCTTGAACAGTGCTTGCTTTGGGTTTCCTCTGGGGCACTGTGTTTCCGTATTTGCGCTATGCGTGTGCGAGACGGAATTGCGTATTAGAAGTGACTGCAGTGGATCGGCAATTGAGCACGCATACAGCGCGGTACGTGGCGGGAGGCAGGAGCGGCTACTCGTTGACTTGCGTTACAACGCCAGGCCCTATTAGCGAGCACATCGGTTGCCCTTGCTGATAATCCCTCTGCGGGGAAAAGATATGGCGGCGTGCATTGATGCGTGGACGTGAGCTGCATCTGCCGATAGGAACAGATTCTCCACTAGGCTGCGAGCTGGGGACCACCGACATATGCGGAGTCGTGGGTTTATGCAGTGCGCCTGCACGCGTCGATTGCCGCACTGAGGCAATGCCTTCTCTGTCGTCCCGGTCGCTTGCTGTTTTGACCAGGAAGTGAGCGCCGAGCGCCCAACTAGTTTTCGGTCGGGGCATGCATCGGCAGTGTTGCGTTTCTGGCATTCTGATGGTTGGAATAGATGCTTACGCGCCTGCGTGCATATTCATGGAGTTGCAGTGCGTTAAATAATTAGTGTTTGTCTTGCTTGAACAGTGCTTGCTTTGGGTATCCTCTGGGGAGCTGTGTTTCCGTATTTGTGCTATGAGCGTGCGAGACGGAACTGCGTATTAGAAGTGACTGCAGTGGATCGGCAACTGAGCACGTATGCAGCGCAATACGTGGCGGGAGGCAGCAGCGCCTAGCTGGTGACTCGCGCTACAGCGCCCGCACCTATGGGCGAGCAATTTGGTTGGCCGTGCTGACGATCACTTTGCGGAAAAAATATATGGCGGCTTGCTTTACTGTGTGGGCATCAGCTGTATCTGCCGACAGGAGCACATTCTGCATTTGGCTGCGAGCTGGGGACCACCGACATCTGCGGAATCTTGGGCTTATGCAGTGCGCCTGCACTCGTCTA